GCAATATAGCGTGAGGGCTAGCGCAAAGGCTAACAGGCTAAGCTGAGTTTCTTCTTCCATGAAGCAGCTCTGTTGTCCTCCATCCATATTTTCTGTTACAGGCTGAAACACACACAGGCTACCTTCTCCTTTCTGTCAACGCTCTCTGGTTTCATTTAAAAGAGTCGATCATCAGATATTGTCCAAGATTAACCTTCAGGGTGGATATAGCTCGCTAGCAGCCTCGCACCGATGACCTAGTTGATGTCATCATTTACCCAGAATGCTTTGCGTGTAAATAAAATGGCTCTGTCCGTGTTAAAATATGTTTTAAAAAATTTACAAAACTAAACAGCCTACAGTATTTTTACAGTCTTTACTTTACAGTTAAAATAAATCATCATCATCATCGTTTATTTATAAAGCACAATAAAAACCAAAGTGCTGTACAGGAGCATAAAATAAAAACAACGAAAAAAGTACAGTAATAAAATGAACAATAAAATCTAACAAAACAGCAAAGGCTGACCTAATGATCCTGCTCTTCAGACTCAAATGCCTGTTTAAACATGTAGCCCCCCACTGCTCTGTCCGCTATTAACTGGGACGAGAACTTAAACTCACTGGTGGGGTGGCTATTTGGGTTCGTTAAGTTCTAGTAGATACCCTGCAGGTTTACCTATGTTGAGTAAATCTTTACTCGTCCAGTTACCATACACACATTTTAAGTGACCTGAATAACTCCAGACAACCAGCTAAACTGAATATTTTCTTTTAATAAGAACTTGGAAAAACAAATACTTTTATGAAAAACCCTTCTTTTGAACAGTTTCAATATAACCAGAATTCAACTTTAGTCACTAACAGAACCTCATACATTTACCGGAGTTTACAGTTTTAAACACAATATCACACATGGGCCCACACTCTCACACACACTCACACTGTCCGGTACCGTTTAAAGTTTTCGTTGCAGGCCTGATTAAACTTGGGTGCGATGTCGCTATGACAATCCTCTTCGAGCCATAAAACTGACTCAGACCTGCTCGTTCAGCCGACGTCCTCTCCGTCCAAGTTGCTTTACGAGTCCAATTTCTCTTAGAACTCCGCCACACGAGTTGCAGGACTCCTCCTCAAATCCTGCTAAAGCTAGCGTCGCCAAGTTGACCCGGTACTCTAGCCACCTTGGATCAGCCGTAGTCCTCCTAGCATCAGCCGCAGTTCTTGACTAAAAAAACACTTCTTGAGGTATCCTACCCACCGAGTGCAGTTTACTTGTGCAGAACGTGCACAAAACAGTCCAGTTTTGCTCACACCTCAGCCTCTGTCTGCATTAGCAGCGATCTCCATGAGCTTCCTTCTTCTCCCCACCCACGTTCTCTTTTGTTTTCTTCCTGTTGCGTTCACTTGTCCCTAAACTACTTCATAGATAGGTAATTCAATACAATCTTTAAACTAATGGGATAATTGATCAAACAAGAATACATTTATGTAAAAARACAAGTCCTGTCCAGAAAAGCTTCGGCTTTTTCTTTTTCTCCTTTTTTCTTACGCTACTCACAACAGTAACCGCTCCCCGCATGTATATAATCACTCGGGTCAAAAATGTACAAAACAATAATACAAGTTTCTCACTTATATTTTCTTTGTAGATACAACCAGCCTTGTAAATATTTTTGTAAATATTAAAGGACCTTAAGAGTAACCAGGGGCTACAAACAGGTGAGTTTTTAACAGAGACTTAAACTCAGAGACCCAGCAGACCTCACAGACAGTGTTGTGACAGTAAATGTTTATCAAATAAAGTTTAACGTTACAACTAATTGTGGATCCCTTTAAAAATGACTCTTCAGTGTAACCTGGTTCAGTCTGACTGGTCTCAGATCAGGTCTACACAGTCAGACACCGTCTGGTCTAACACGCAGGCTTGACCACCATCACAGCAGGATGTCTCTCCTCACCATCGACAGCATGAGTCACACTCAGAGCTCCTGGCTCCGTCTAAACTTAGAACCACACAGCCTGAATTGGACCCAGTCGGCTCTGTAACTGCATCAGGTCCTGTTGTGCAGCTCAGATCAATGGTGGTCATCAGAAGCCAGCCTGGCTCTTGTTGGCACTCTGCTTTATGAAGCCACCCATCGTTCTGACAGAACCCACCTTAAGGACCACTTGAGACAAATGGAACTGCTTTTTATGATTTATATGTTTTCTAGCTAAAAATAAGCCACACGTGGCATTTGCTGCTGAACTTGGACCGAATTTGAAAGAAATATGTCGCTGTATGGTTATCAGGAGCTCATGCAGTCAAGTTGATGTTCATCCACGTGAAAATGGACCTGGAACAAAACCACATCCAGATTTCAAGAAACTGGGTTTGGTTGAAGCTGAGTTCCAGAAGAAATTCTCTAAACCTTCATATTTCCTGGTTTCTGAGCTGATTTTTAGGGGTTAAAATATATTATTTTGTTTATTTGTTCTTCTTTTTTTTGACGTAGTGTTTGTCATGATCATAGTATGACATTTTGAATCCTTTAAGCCACCAGGGGTTTTAGAAGTACTACCTCCTTCAGTTCCCTTGTGGTCCCTATACAGGGCCCATCGGGCTCAAACTTTTCTTTTAATATTTCAGGTTGTAGCAGCATTTAATATACATGTTCATGTTGTTTTCTGTCATAGAGGATTCCCTAATCTATCGTTTCTTTTATTTATTAAGGCCTGCATGCTTTCATTTTAGGGTGGACGAACCAACAGGATCTTGATGTTTGATAAAGTTCTGATCCTTGATCCTTGAACATAGTGCCTAAGGTCCAACATGTTTCAGATGCTCCAACCCACTTCAGTCAACATAATCCTGGACTACACGTGGTGAGACCCTGCAGAACCTTCACAAACTGGTAAAGACAACAGAATAAGGGTCTTACAGGACTCACAGTCACAATGAGCTGCATTGTATGTTAAAAAAGACAAAGTAGTTGGATTTGATCTGATCTTGGTGAATGGAAATCAGTGTTTGGTGCAGAGGGAGGCATGAAATCAGCAGCTGATCACTCTGACAACACAGAAAATAAAAATCTGTGTTTTCAAATAGATGAAGAGCAGGTCTCAGTAATCAGAGAGGCTGTTGTTCTGCAGGGTTAGACAGAGTAAAACCAAAGCCTCAGTGTGTATTTATTATATATTTTAACATCAGGCTGAACTGTTTCAGGAGATCTGCATCGTGTTTGTGTCTCCGCCCGGCCCAGATAACATCTGTCCTCCCAGGACCCGTAGGTCTGTTTCACCTGGAACCAACAAGTAGAAAATCTCCATGTCCTGGTTCCCAGCATGTGT